ACCCTTAAAGGCTTCAGGGCGAATAGTAGTAGATCTTATATAAACACACGTAGAGGAACCCTAAGCCCTAAATCCAAACCCTAAACCCTGAACCCTAAACCCTAACCCCCAAGCCCTAAACCCTACACCCCAGCCCTAAACCCAAACCCTAAACCCTCTTCCCCCCCAGACTTTCGGGGAGTTTCGAGGGGATCTTGGTTAAGACGAAAGGCCTGGCTTGGAGGTACCAGGTTGCCACAGTTTCAGTGGTAATGCACGCGGTTTAGGGTTGAGGGTTGAGGGTTGAGGGTTTAGGGTTTAGGGTTGAGGGTTGAGGGTTTAGGGTTGAGGGCTTAGGGTTTAGGGTTGAGGGTTTAGGATTTAGGCTAAAGGGCTGAGGGTTTAGGATTCCAATGTTTGAGGCCCCTATAGCCCTTACTGGAACCGTCATAGCACCCCTTATAGTTTAACCTTAGTAAGAACCCTTACAAAGGAGCCCAATCCTAGTCGTTGAGGCCCCTATTCCCTAAATGCCTAATTATAGTAACCCCTGCAAGAAGCCCTTCAAACCCTAAACCCTAAACCTTCAAAGGGAACCTATTGAGGCCCCTACATAAGGTTTGGAGTTCAAGCAGGGTTCAGCGTTTCGGGTTGGGGTTTCGGGTTTCGGGTGTGGGATTTCGGGTTCAGGTCTAGAGTTAAGGGGGTCGCAGTTAGTTTCCGTATACAAGTTTTGATGGACCGTAAAACCCTAAACCCCGAACCGCCTTACCTTGAAACCAAGCCTACTGATACCCGAACATGCGAGAGCACAACTCTGGGCCACTTCCCACGGCTGGCCAGCAGCCTGCAGAGTTTAGGTTCAGCAAGCAAAATCCGACGAGGGCCCAGCGCTCAGTTCAACCAGAGAGGGCCATGAATTCTGAAGCACGGACCTACGGTTTGGGGTTCAAAACCGCCGATGCCGCAGTGAAAGATCAACGGCATGACATTTGGCACAAGATGTCCATGGAGGCGGAATGCCGACCTGGAAAATTGGGCCATAACAAGGGCTAGCAGGAACGGCTTTGCGGAGTTTCATCAAGATGAGTTCATGGCGAATGTCAAGACTTGTGGTGATTTCTGGAAGGGCCTGTGGGCCTAGGGTTGAGTTTAGGGTTATAGGGTTTGGGGTTAAGCGTACTGGCTAAGAAGTTTAAACCCCAAGCCACCTTAACCCGAGAATTAGGCAAATAACTCCCTTAGAGATGTATGTAAATTAGGATTGTTAGGGTTCAGGGTTTGGGGTTTAGGATTCTTAGGACTTATCAAGGGAGTGTTATTCTGAAGTTGGGGGGGGCTTCACCCAGCCTCTAGCTCCAAATCTCTCAAACCCGAAGCCCCAAGCCCTAAACCCTAAACCCTAAGCCCTAAGCCCTAAACCCTATAAACCCCAACCTAACAAGCAATTGAATCATCCCTAAGCTCCAACTCCGTCACAATCTCAAGCCCCAACGTCACTGAAGCCCCTCAGGGTTTAGGGTTTAGGGTTCAGGGCTGAGGGTTTAGGGCTTAGGGCTTAGGGCAGGGTTTAGGGCTTAGTGTTTACGGTTTCGGGTTTAGGGCCCTAAACCTTAAACCCTAAACCCTAAACCCTAACCTGAAAACCGGAAGCTCCCGTGGCTCCCAAAGGTTGGGGCCTCAGCTACACCAGCTTCCAGCACTCCAAGCTCGCTGCGGAACTCGACCTTGGGAATTCCCGCATCCTCGTGCGCACAGAGGCGGGGCATCCTATTAGGGTTTAGGGTTTAGGGTTTAGGGTTTAGGGGTTTAGGGGTTTAGGGTTTAGAGTTTAGGGTTTAGGGTTTAGGGGTTTAGGGTTTTAGGGTTTAGGGTTTAGGGTTATATGTATATATCCTGCATTAGCCATACTGAGTATGGAATTTATGGGGTCCCGACAACAAAGGTAGGTTCACCTTCGGCCTCTTATTACGGAGCCGAGCTCTCGGATTTCCCTGGGGAATTGATTTCATGTTGTTACAAAAGTAGAGAAACAAGGTGTCGCTAAACATAGTGTTGCTATTTTGGGTCTAAGAGGCTTACAGCTCAGGTTTTAAACTTCTGGGTTAAGATCTTCGGACTTTAGTATATATAGCGGTTCACTTATGTTTTAAGGGCTTCTGTGTGTGTTGGAGAACCTTTGCAGGTGCTTCGGGTCTGTGCCTGCCTTTTTGACCCTAAAGTCTGCATTCCCAGAGAGAACCCGATATCCCTTAATTAGGGAAGGTGATTACCTTGAATTAAATTGTAAGGGGCGTCATATACTATGGTTTAAGCTATAGTCCTTGATGAAAGGGTACTGGGCTCTCTGCATTCCGCACCCAAGCCCCTAGAAGCCGTAAGTCTAAAGAGCCTTGCACCGGTTTTTGAGCTTGAGGTTTGCAGTTTACCTAGACCCTTTACTGTAGTGCATTTTTTTGGACGGCTGAGTTTCTTATCATGGGGTCCTAACCAGCCTGCCCTGTGTAGCTCATCGGGGACACTTTACACTTCTGCGAGAATAATATTTCCTGTCCAGCTGACACATTTTGGGGGAATACCATTTCCGTTAAAGCTGAAAGTGTGCATTTTTTCGGGCCCTGAGCCCTGAAACACTAAACTCAGCAAGTAAACCCAAAACCCTGAACCCTAAAACCTAAACCCAAAACCCTAAACCTTAAGCCCTAAACCCCAAACCCTAAGCCCATGTAAAGCGACCTTCTGCAGCACCCGGGCCCCCAGGCCAGAAGAAGTCCAAGAAAATTACCTTGGCGGAGTCGGGTTGTGGGGTTCAGGGATTGGGGTGTGGGCTTAGGGTTTAGGGATTGAGGTTTGGGGTTTAGGGTTTGGGGTTTAGGGTTTGGGGTTTGGGGTTCAGGGTTTAGGGTTTCGGGTTTAGGGTTTGGGGTTCTGCAGGCCTCAACTCCCGGATGAGGGAATGGGTCGCCGCGTCACAGCCGATGGCGTGGAGAAGCGAGACAAGGGAAGTGGGCGAAGATGAGGCAGGCCCGAACAATCCCCAGCCACATCCTGCATCTTTACGACTACCCCGTCTTGCCGATGCCCCTTCGGCGATGTTTGTCCGGGCCAACAAGGACCTACGAGGACAGGCTTCACCAGAGCACCGCCGAGAGCTACAGAGCTACACCGGATTGATTTTCTGCGAGTTAGGGTGGGGTTTGGAGGTTTTAGGTGCTTATTTAGGGGCCTTAACAATTACCCGGTACTATTTTGGGGGTTCTCCTTGTTACACTTATTGTTAGAGTCTAATGGGCCTCACAACCCTATTCTAATCCTTAAGTTAAGGCCCCTTTTCAGGGGTTTGGGACCTAGAGCTCGGTGTTCACATCCCTTACAGGATAATGCGCTATCCCTCTGGGTCCCAAAAGACTCAAAGGAGTGCTGTAGGAACCTGGTTAAGCAACCTTGGGTCTTTATTAGGGCCAGTGAGGTTCTCTATATGAATCCTAATGTTTTGGGTTCCAGGGGCAGGGTTTGTTAATCAGGTTCCTTTCATTATGCCAATCTGATAAGAAGGACACAAAAAAGAAGTCTGATTCTAATGGTATGCCGTGCTAGAAAGAAGGAAACTAAATGTCGGGAACACATGCTGAGTGCTGGCCGCCTTGTGGGCGGAGTTCGGTTACTGAGCCCAATTCAAAACCAACCCCTTAACCCCAAACCCTAAACCGCGGGAGTAGGTTTTACTTATAACCCTCGGCGTAAGCCTTCCAAATTTTCGTAGACGGTTATGCCGTACTGTGTGTCTATGTATGCAGGTGTGTGTATATGTATATGTATAATATGTATATGTATATGCATACATGTATGTATATATATATATACATATGTATGTATGTATGTATGTATGTATGTATGTATGTATGTATGTATGTTTAATACACATACATATCACACGTTAGTACGGTAATTAATAATATACGGATGTACATACAGAAGTGAAGGGATATTATCTGTGTACTCAAGTTTCAGCTGTCCATTGCCCCCCCAAGCTAGACTAGGCCTTCAAACGGTTCCGAAACACCGAGCGGTTCCACGCAGGTCCGCAACACCGGCAGCCAGGCAAGGCGTGAGTTCGAGGTTGACGTTTTCAGGGCACGGTTTCTTAGGGGCTGAGTAGCCTTTCACCTTGTTGGGGCTTATAATATAATCCTCTTGTTGTCTAAATTTAAACAGAAGCTTAGGGGTGATTGAAAACGATTCGGGTTTAGGGTTCAGGGATCCCTAAGAAACGGCAAGGGTCCCAAGATCAGTATAGGAAGTGTTACTAAGCCCTCGGAGTCTTTACACACAATGTCTGGCACAGGGACTACAAGGGGATACCCAGGCCCCGGTATCACATACATCCAGTTCAGAGGTTCAAAAGCTCGCTCTCCTTTGCAGCTGCAGACAGTGTCAAAGGTACCTCAGTTTCTTGGCTGAGGGCAGTCGCAGCAGGACTGGGCCACTGGTCCAAAAAACAAGCTTGAAGGCTATGTGCATGGTGATGGCCCGGGCCGTGAAGGAGCAAGTGCTGCGAGATCTTTGCAAGGCGGAAGCACGGTGCTTGACGCTGGATGATCGAAAACAGTACAGGTTGTTCACTTACGAGGCCAGCATTGTGGAGGAAGTGGACGGCCTCCCGAAGGCTGGTCGAAAGCAAGGCCACCTTTGCGTGCAAGATATTCTCTGCTCCAAGGAGTCGTTGAAAAACCTTCGAGGTCGAGTATTGCGAAAAGATAGCAGCCACCGCTGTAAAAGCAATCGATGACCTCTGCCACGAGAAGGAATACTGCGAATCTCGGTCACAACGCTGCAGGAGCGTGAGCATAATTGCCAACATTATTATATTATACCACAATAAATAGGGCCCCTACGTTGCCTGAGCGCAGCTTCAAGCAGAACCCCTCCCNNCCCCCCCCCCCCCCCCCCGGAGAAACTCTGACAAAAGTCCCAGCGGTGCCTGAAACTCTAAACCCGTAACCCTGAACTGCCTTCGACCCGAAAGGCCTAATGACTCGAAACCCCAAAGCCCCAAGCCCATCAACGACCCATGCCCTCGAACCTGAACCCTGAATTGAAACCTGGACCACTGCAGCCTGCCCGAGCGCCCTGGGCCTCAAAACGCCTTTATTTGGAGGCCCAGGGGACTTAGT